GGGGGGGGGGGGGGGGGGGGTAGAAGTGAAGATGCAGTACCTGCCTATCTTTCAGGGAAGCTGAGGAGAAATTTAATGTTTGAGGCCTTCAAACAGCTCTGCACCACACAAGTACAAAGATGCACAAAAATTCTGAGCAAGAATTTGGATTTTATTTATCAGAAGACAGATTATTTTAGTCAAGATTTTTTTTTCTTTTTGGATAAAAACTGCTATTTCCAAGGCCCTGTGGCAGGTGCTTTATATGCCACTGACTGAAACGCAATCATCAGGAAATATAATGAGCAACTATATCAGATACCATCAGTTTTGGTCCTTTCTGAATTTCAGCCTTCAGGTTCTGGCTTACTACTTACTTTAATTTCATTCATCTCTGTTGGGAGCTCACCATTGCTTGACTTCATAGTACCCAGTCTTGCTTCAAATGCTTTCTTGAAAAGTGTCTGACATATTTTTTTTTATCAAACTAAGTCTCCCAGTGATCACTGTCATTTAAGATACAGCATTGTTGTTCCTGATTTAATATTTGGCATCGTCGACATGTTGGTGACATTTCAGAATACATTGCCCAAGGATTTACCTTTCCCTGCCTTTTCTTGTAATCAACACCAGTAATTATTCAACTGCTGCAAAACGTATTTCTGGAGGCTTTTAAAATGTAAGCACTTCAGTTTTAACAGCTCTTATAAATACCTATCTTCTTATAAAACTGCCTGGTTTATAGATATATTGCTTATAAATTTGTTTTTTTTCCCCAGTTAAAATAGTGAAATAAAGCTAGTGAAGTAGTTATAACAAGGATGCCCTTGTAGATATGTTTAACTAAACTTCAGCAGTTGAATTCAAACATGTATTCGTTATGCTAAATCATAGTGGAACTAATGCAAGTTCCTCAAAATGATTTCCTCAGAACATCTGAATGGGAACTGGGAACGTTGGAATAGACCAGTCAGGGTTCTTCCAGGACCCAACAAGGTACAAAGAGTCATCCTCTGAATGTCAAGTTGGCTAGTTCCATATAGTAGTTTCTCAGGGTTTGTATAAAATTACATTTAGATTGACCTGACTGGAGTTAGGTCGATCTAAATGCCCAGTTGCACAGGTGTGCAGAGGGCTTAAATCGCCCAATAAATGGCACGTACATGGGCGATTGCAATAAATGGTTGTACATATCGCTCCTGATCTGTGTTCACACAGCTTAAAGCAAGCCATGTGAATGTAGATTTGCGAGGCAAACGACTGCTTGCACCCTTAATGAATTAGATACAACACATGTTGCTATAACGACAAACCTGAATAGATTTTGGACTTGGTCACATACATTTTAGCCTTTAAACTGATTAAGATTTGCTGTGTCATGGGTCCTTACCCAGTTAAATTTCAAAACGTGAACAGTGTGAGCAACCAATTTAAAGTGCACTTAGTCTTAGAGGAAATGCAACTGATGAAGAGTAGTACGACAATAAACGTTTTCTAGAGAAGCTGCAGAATCTCCTTACTTGGAGATTTTCCAAAAGTGGCTGGGTAGGTAGCTTTCAGGGATGGTTTAGGAAGAGCAAATCCTGCACCTGTGCAGAGGGTTGAACTAGATGATTGCTGACTGAGATTCAGAAACCTGTGATTGAAATGCTCTGATCTGAAATGATGCTTTGTAAAAAATAGTGCTGGGGAGGGAGGTGGGGGAAGCAAAACAAGTCTTCACAATGTTTTTAAAATGAATTAAGTCTTTGCTTCTTCAACATAGCAAGATTAGCAACAAATCTATAGGTTGACCTGAATTCATTTGGCTATTCCTCAAAAGAGGAGTAGACTATTTCCAGAAGGACAGCTAATGCCCCTGTAATACAAATACGTTTAATAAGAGAATAAGAAAGTTAGATTTAATAATCATATTTTTCTTAATGTGATAATTCATATGTATGTGCATGTATGTGTATGTATGTATGCATATATATTATACGTAAAAAAACAATATAGAAGTGTGCAATATATAAAGATTTGAGATATATATTAATTATCTCAAATCTTTTATATATAGCACGTTTCTAGATTGTAATTTATGTATTGGATATATTCATATGTCAAAGTGTAATGTTTTGAAACTATGGAAGTTTAATATATTCTACTACGAGCCACATTCTGCATACCCCTGCCCATGCAACCCATGCTCATGTCAGAGGGGTGTGCGGACAGCAGATGACGGTCTGTCCTTGCCTCACGTTGTCACTGCCCCAGGATCCCAGGGTCTTCCTGCCCACCCGTCTCACTCCCAGTCGCGGTGCCATCCCAACTGCCTGGCCACACGGCCTTCTTGTTTGGGTCCCACTCCTGGCAGCAGGTGCGGGGTATATGAGCCAGGGTGCCCAGGCAGCAGGCCTGGGGCTGGCAGTGGCAACCAGAAGGAGCTGCTGCCACAGAGGCTGTTGGGAAATGGAGTCCACTTTGGGCCTGATCCACCCTGCAGGCCGAGCTTTGCCCACCGCTGTTCTGTACACTTGGTTTGTGGCTTCCATTTTTGCTTTAAAGAAACTGAGTTGCACATTGTTGCCCTGTCATTTATAGTCATCCACCATTAAAAATGTCACCTTGATACCCTGCAGAAATGTAAGCCACTGCTAAGTTTAAGACAGCATTTTTATTGAAATAACTATGTTCCAGTTATTAAACTTCTAACAGCCTCTCTCAGAAATCTGCTAGGTTTTTTGTTTTTTTTTAATACTAATAAAAAAGGAACTAGCTGTTTTACCTCTTGTAAGTTGAGTGACAAGTTTGTTCAGTCATCTAACAAGATAATATTGTATCTTGTTGTAGGAGAATTAAATAGATGTTTTCTGCATCTCGATTGATTTTTTTTTTTTTTTTTTTTTAAGCTTTAAACAAAAAATCCATATATATTTTGAGAAACTCAAATTAGCTAAAGATCCATTTTGGACTGACCTGTAAAATTAAATTACCTTTGGTGTCTGAGTCAAGTCAATAGCCATTTCAACTATAATATCACTTTCATGGAAAACTAAGGTGAAGATTTAACAAACATTTTGTTTATCAAACAAAAAGGACCTTACTCAGTACTGCAGATGCACGTTCCAATCCAGCTTTTTCTTTTAATACTGTAATAATACTACCATGTTGTTGTTTTTTGCAAAGATTACATATTTTTAATTGTGGGCTGGGGTGAAGTAGACGACTGAAGTAAACTCAGTGAGGAAACAGTGTTTAGGTTATCCTCTTTTTCGGTTGGGTTCAGAATAATTTGCATTACTATTTTGATTTAAACTGCATAGACATGTACATAGGTGAAGGGAAGTATAATGCCAGAGCCTTAAAAAAAAGGTTGTAATCTTTTCAGTGAGGATTTACCAGAGGATATTATTCTTAATTATTTTAATGAAGAATTCAGTTGCTATAGTGATCCTGCATATTGAAATATTTCAGTAGACACAACTGTGGTTGCTGTCGGAAGATATAAATTACTCAGCTCTGTTTATATAGTTTGTATGAAGACAAAGGAGAGACTCATCTGACATGGTAATGTATTAGTAGTTTGGAGTAAGACTTGCAAGGGAGAAGTATATTTTAGAGTTAGCTTTCTCGCCCCAGTCCCTACCTTGTGCAGTTTTTAGAACACTTTACCTTAGTG